AGAGGATGATGGGGTCGGGATGAGCCATGATAATAATAATGCAGATGGTAATGTGGTCTTTCACTCTGAGCTGCTGCTGAGGCGGACAAAAATGCAGCAGCTATAGCTATAGCTATAGCTATAGCTATATATATTCATCTATCAGCATGTCAGGGTTAAACAGCAGGAAAAGACAGTTGACGAGTAAGGGAAATGGGACTGGGGGTTGAAGAGGGGAATTGTCTGTGGATAGCCCCATAATGTTGTCTGCCATGCACAAAATATCGGTTGCGAAAATTGCTTAAAAATGAACCAACTGCTGTCAGTTGATGGATGGGCTCACAAAGTGGGGCCACTTGGCAAGTCACTGTCCCTCAACTCCCAACCCTCTCAGCTCTTCAACCCCTACCTTTTGCACACCAAGCGACGGCTGCCAGTGGAGTGCTGGGTTGAGAAAAATTGCATAACATTTTGTTTGTTTCGAGTGAGAGACTTTAAAAATTTCATATCTACTTTTAGTAGTTTGCTGCTTTTTCTGTAGATTTTGCTGCTCCTGTTTATTTCCATAGCGATTTCTCATGCATTTTTGCAGAGCACACACATACTATAGTGATGTATGTACACACATCAGCTAATACCAGTCCCACAACGACTGCTTCTACTGAGATATGAACATGGATAGTTTTGCCAGCAGCTTTGTTTTGCAGAGCAAACGAATTGTTTCAATTACCAGAACATAATATACTCAAAATATGAAACTTTTAAAAGCGCAAGGCATGCAGCAAAGGTTGATTTGGAGAGCAGTGTCTTAATCGAAAAATGAATTTAAGCAAAGTGGCAAGAATATTTTCAGCCTTACATTTCTCTTTATTGAAACAGTATACAATAGTTAACTCACAGCAATATGAAAGCCAAAAGCAAAGTGTTTTCATTTGAAGTACACCTTTAAACGTCTACTAATGTTTTTAATGTTTCACTTGTCTGGGATTCTACACAAAACAAAATTGTGTAAAGCTTCTTCTTTCTAGAATAAGCGTACTCAATCTGAAAAAATATACATATACAGTTTCTGAAGTAACTAAGGTGGATTGGCCAAGTACTCCCTGAATTTATAAATAAGTTGGCGTATTTGTTAGTCACGCACTCCTCGCACTTGTGTAAATACTGTTAGCTTGTTTTATTTTTTATTTTTATTTTTGAAGGGTTTCACTTTTGCAGTGTTTGTTTTTTATTTCTTTTGTCGAGTGTGTTGTGCATTTTTACGAGCACTTTTTAATAAATCATTCGCCTCGTAAGCTAACTTTCATGCACAGCCAAAAAGTGTGTGTGCGAGTGTGTGTGTGTGTGTATGTGTCTGTGATATGTAGTGTTGGTGTTGGTGCTGGTGTTGGTGTTGGGTTTTGGTTAGCCCGTTTCTCTTCTCACGGTTGAGTGAGTGATTTGCATATGTTGCTGTTGATGCTGTTGCTGCAGCTGCAAAAAATGGGCGAACACACAAATCACCTTTGTGGACCTACTGGCGACTGCCACGCCCACAAATATCAACGAGTCGCCCAAACGGTCGTTAGCCACGGGAAATGCAACATACTGTAAATTTCTGTTCACAGACTCGTTGCGGCTTACACTGCATGTCCTTTTTCGCACCCAAATCCCACTCCAAATCCCAATCTCATCCCCCTCCCACCCTTTGCTCCTTGTCATCGTCCTCATTGCATTGGTTGCAAATGAATACATTTGCGAGCTTTTGGGATTGCAGCGTGATCTTGTTATTGTAGCCCGTTACTCTATACTCTGTACCTACCCGCGTCTCTTATCTCTCCCCCTCACCCTTCTCCCTTCTCTCTTATCATTGTTATGGTGGTGCAACCACAACCATAACAACCAAAAGCATAAGCTGCGGGCTGCCAGCAAAGTTATTCGAGTGTTTTCCCTGCACAGCTTAATATGCAAAGTTATGAGCGAGTTCTGGTTACGGTTCGCTGCTCCTTCCCCTTCCCACCTTGCAAACACCACCCCCCCCCCCCACCAGACTCATGCAATAGATTTCGATACTCCACACTCTTGAACACACCCCTGCCCCCCTGTTAGAGATGGGTCCTGCATACAATTTAATAAAAACTGCAGCTCAGTAAACACCCATAACTAATCTTTAATACTTGCAGCAGGGCGTCACAGAAGAACCGGAAACGGTACCGCAGAATTACCGTTTGAAATTCAGAACCGAGATTTAATAATTTTTAAAGGTGTCACTTACAGGAACAGATCAGATCAGAACAGAACAGAAGAGAATAAGTAAATATGTTTTTCGTTATTTAAAAGATTATCTTAAATAAATTATAATAAATAAAATTATTACAATTTATCATAATAAATTAAATTAGAATCTATAAATTTGCATAATAAAAATGAACAATTGTAATATATATCCAAGCTGTTCTCGAAATGAAATTCTAATTGTTTTCAATTCTTTTTCAAATGTTAAAGATATTATAATAAATTATAAGTCCAAAATACGGAAACTGCATTAATATTTGTAGTTTCTTGAATCCTGTAAGTACTATACTGTGTATAGGGAACTAAGCTTCAACAAATATAAGCTAAGTTGCAGCTATCGTAACAAAAAGTATCGCCTCACGGGATCATCGCCAAGGTGGCAACGTCAAGTGCTAGTTAAGCGCGAATTTAATTGGCGGCCATTTTATAATTTTTCAATAACATAATTTCGCCATTATTAACGGATACTGAGCGCTCAAGGGAAGCAGGGGCATGCCTATGCCACATGCCACATAACAATAATCCGTGTTGTGCTGTGCTGCTCCACTTTTGACTTTTCATACAAATGTGCAGTCGACTTTCAGGCTGAGTGTTAAGTATCGCCACAGATTTTCAGCTGCTCGCTGTCCGCTGCACGTTTAATTAAACAGCGACCGGAAAAATACCACATATAAGAGGGAGATGGAGTCGAAGAGAGAGAGAGAGAAGAAAGAGAAAGAGAGAGAGAGAGAGAGAGAGAGAGAGAGAGAGTGAGAGGCAGAGGCAGAGGCAGAGGAAGTTTCATGTGTTGCCCGGGCCAGGCAGCTAAAAACTAAAAGAGTGCTTATCTAAAGGGTTTCCATGTGTTTTTCAGACTGGCTGCTCTCCTCCCCAAACCTCCCTCCTCTCCCACAGGCCCGCCACAACCTCAAAAAGCCGTACTTGTTACAACATTTCAATTAAAAGTTAAACTGCATGTAATTTTACCGAAAATGTGTAAGTAATAACTTTGCCCGCTGCGCTCGACTTGAGCCAAATTAATTTACAAAATATAAAAACAGAAACGCCCAGCAGCGCAAGAGGTCTAAAATAACACAAAAAAGGTTAGCGTAACCCTTTTAGCTGTTATAGAGCCCAAACTGGCTTGCCATTAATTAACAAAAAAAAAAAAAAAAAACAAACAAATGGAAAAAAAGAAATGGCAGCAGAAAATTCTAAAACCGACGTAAGCTTAAAAGAGCAACCAGACCAGGAGGGGAGGGCGAAAAAGGCAAGTTTTCGGCATTGGGTTAGGTTTCATTATATATTTTTTGGGTTTACATTTCGCAACTAAATTCAATTTGCCTTCGACTAGTTGAAGCCTTTATTTATGTTTTATATTGTTTTTTTTAGTGTGCTTAGCTCGTGCGTGTAATATACTTTATTATGACGGGGCAAACGTTGTTTCTTTTTGCACTTTTAGCTTATGTAAATTACACTGCCAGCGGCAATTTCAATTTCAATTTCAATTAGTTGCCCACGCAAATTGCTTTTAATTGTGCAATGAAAGTGACGCGCTTAAAAAGGTGATAATTGCTTTGTACAACAAAAAATTTAACATGGCAAAAAATAAGTGTATATAAATTGAAGCACAGAGAGAAAAATGAAATCGAGCCAAATGCACTTTTTGACATTGATACAAAAGATAATCCAAAGTCAGCAGCTGTAGCAAAACCAAATTGCGAGCAGCTTCTTGTCACACAACGACAACAAACATTTTATGCAAATGGACAGATGGAGCTTGAGCTGGAACTGGAACTGGAGCTGGAACTGGAGTCTAGTTTAGTTCAATGTATTAGCTTTTCCGGTGCTCGTGTGGCTGATTGTGCGTAGCAGAGAGATAAGTGTCGAATTGGGTTCTCAACTGCTAACTAACTCGCTCACACACACACACAGTGCACATGCCCATGAATATGTAAACAGCTATGACACTCAAGTGTGTGAAGAGAGAGAGAGAGAGAGAGAGAGAGAGAGAGAGAGAGACAGATGACAGAGAGGTCAGGCAAAAACAAAAATAAATGGAAACTGACGGCCAGCCAAATGAAATATGAACGAAGAGTGCGAAAGATGTAAAGTGGATCGAACAGCGATTATGCAAAAATAAAAAAAATATAAAAAACATCAGACAGACAAACACAATAAAGAAAACGACGAGACAAAAATTGAAAACGAACCTTTTTGAACGTGTCTGAGAATAAAAGCCTTTTAGGCTTAGAAACAAACATTAAGTGCGAAATTGCAACCAGTTACGCAGCAGAAAACAGACAAACAAATCAACATTTAAATGGATTCACAGACCCACAACAGACATCTCTATACATGACAAACGGGTACAGTGACAACTGTGCGTCCCAAAAAGTCACAACAAATTTGAAATTTTATAGCTCAAGTTTTTGCCAGACGGTGAAGTTAATTAAAAAGGTCACACACATTAAATGAAGTAAAGTAAAAATAATATATGTAGAATATTATATATTTTGTTATTTGAATTACCTTTTGGAATTAATAAACATAGACGTTAATATATATAAATAATTATAATAATTTTAAGTAATAAATCAAAATTCATTACATCAATAGCTCACTGTATTTACTTAAGTTGTCTCGTAATCTTCGTTTGTGTCTCGATGCTGCTTTGTTTATCAACTCACGCTTTACTCAAGTACATAAAAAAATAGAAGATGAACGACACAACAACAACAACAACATCGCTCAACCTTCGTCACTTCGATCAGAGCTTCGATCCGCTCAAGTATTCAGTTTCAAGTCGGCGGCCAAGCGGCAAACACAACTTTTTATTTTTTCCCGAGACAACGAAATTCATCGCTGACAGAAATAATGAACAATTTGGCATTGCTGGCAACGCTTCTGGCGTGCCTCGCCAGTGGTGTTCTGGCTGGCAAAGTGGGTCCGCCGCAGCAGCACCTGCCACAGGGTCCACAGCGGCACATGGTCTGCTACTATGACTCGTCCAGTTTCGTCAAGGAAGGTGAGTGGAACAAAGTGCTTACGTAATCGCCCCCAGATGAAACACGCACACACACACAGAACTAGCATCTATGTGAGAAGTGTGTGTGGAGTGGCTTGGAAACAAAGCAGCGGCTTATCAGCGATTTCTGGAAACTAGGTTTATTTATTTGTTTGTTTTTTTCTATGTCTCTTGAGTGGCGATAACGACCAGTGCCAACAAATATTTAATTCCCCCAGAGCACACTGAGAGAATAATGTGAAGATTGATTGAAGCAGAGAAGTACGGTGCAAAGTTCAGCAAAGTTAGCTGGAAATTAATATTCATTAAAAAATAATAAGTAATAAACATAATACAGAGTCAACAAAAAGTAAATGGTTAAAACAAAAAGGAACTAATTGTTGAGCACTATAATTTACCTAGACTTTTTCAACAAATACTCCCTTCATTTTGGTAAGTGTATAACGAGTTTCTTTCTTTCCCATTTTAGGCCTCGGGAAACTGGTGATTGATGACCTGGAGCCCGCTCTACAATTCTGCGATTATCTGATCTATGGCTATGCGGGCATTGAGCGCGATTCGCACAAGGCCATGAGTCTGAACCAGCAGCTGGATTTGGATCTGGGCAAGGGGCTTTACCGTACGGTGACACGCTTGAAGCGCAAATATCCCAATCTCCGTGTGCTGCTCAGCGTTGGCGGTGACAAGGACATTGAGACCGGCGAGGATGCCAAGGATTTGCCCAACAAGTATATGGAACTGCTCGAGAATCCCACAGGTCGCTCCAGGTTTGTGAACACAGTGTATTCCCTGGTGAAGACTTACGGATTTGATGGCCTCGACATTGCCTGGCAGTTCCCCAAGAACAAGCCGAAGAAGGTGCACAGCGGTCTGGGCAGCTTCTGGAAGGGTTTCAAGAAGGTCTTCACCGGCGACGCCATTGTCGACGAACGCTCCGAGGAGCACAAGGAACAATATACCTCACTGTTGCGTGACATCAAGAATGCCCTGCGTCCCGATAATCTACTGCTCTCCACAACGGTGCTGCCCAATGTGAATGCCTCACGTGAGTTGAAATCTTTCTGACTCGAGTAACAACAATCATAAATTTCTACTTTTAATTTTCCTTGTTGATTTGTCTAGTTTTCTTTGATGTGCCCGCTGTGATCAACTATCTGGACTTTGTCAATCTGGCCGCCTTTGATTTCTTTACGCCGCAACGCAATCCGGAGTTGGCTGATTACGCGGCGCCCATCTATGCGCTGAGCGAACGCAATCCCGAGTTCAATGTGGATGCTCAGGTCACGTATTGGTTGCGCAACCGTTGCCCGGCCAGCAAGATCAATGTGGGTGTGGCCTCCTATGGCCGCCCGTGGAAACTGTCGGACGATTCGGGTGAGACGGGTCTGCCGCCCGTGTCCCATGTGAAGGATGAGGCACCCGACGGCACCAATACCCAGCAGCATGGCATCTACAGTTGGCCCGAGGTCTGCGCCCTGTTGCCCAATCAGAACAATGCCTACTCCAAGGGTGCCAATGCCCCGCTGACTCGGGTCGTCGATCCCGCCAAGCGTTTCGGTTCGTATGCCTATCGTGCGGCTGATAAGAGTGGCGACAATGGAATCTGGGTGAGCTTCGAGGATCCGGACACCGCCGCCGACAAGGCGGGCTATGTGCGCAGCAACAATTTGGGCGGTGTGGCTCTGTACGACTTGTCCTACGACGATTTCCGAGGACTCTGCACCAACGATAAATATCCCATTCTGAGGGCTATCAAATATCGTCTGGCCAACTAAAGTTGCACTCAATAATACTCAATTGAACTCGAGTCGCGACCACTTTTTGTAATTGTTTTCTAACACAGCAATAAATGTATAATGTATCTTCAAGTGGAGTTTTCCGTAGAGTTTAAAAATTGAAATATTTACATGACTTGGTGGAAGTTAATTAAAGAGAGATAATCCACTATTTGTCATATAAATTATAATAAGTAATATTCTAAATCAGATTTACTGACCACAACTCAGAATTTTTTTAAAGGAACTCTATCCGAATAACATTTTAGTCTGCTTAAAATGAAAAGCTATATTTCATCAGTTTAATATGCCTTTAAGCTTGCATTTTACGACTTTCCTAGTCGAGTTTTATCTACACATCGCAATCCCCAAGGGAGCTTAAAGTTGAAATATTTGAAAGTTTTTCAAGCAAGATTAGGCACTATAAATCATAAGACGAAACTTTAAGTCATAATAAGCATTGCTGTTAGACAGATTTATTGTACATACTTCAAGGAAAGTCCAACTGTATCAAATTGCCGACTACAAAACTATTTAACTATATATATTTACAGGCTCTTAGCTAAATGACATCTTAAGTTCGCTTAAAATGTAAACCTCTTCTTTTAATATTCCTGCCTTCTTTCTTGACATTTCTAGTAGAGTATTATCCACACTCTGCAACACACATAGCAAGTTGTGGAAAACATATGTATGTCATTAGCTTAATTTCCAAGTTGGCTTCTTTTTTTTTGGTACATACAATTTGATCTGACGTCGTTTTGCTTTGTGCTGTGATGGATGCTAAAATCCAATTGACTTTGACATAAAAGCGTAATCGGCTTTAACATTAAAGAAGGCTGCATAACGAGTCAGCCAGGAGGAAGCTGCTGCTGTAAATTGACTGCTCAACATTTGTCATTGGGGCGTGTAAGCTAGAAATTGCGCATACGCAGCGTATTCTACACACACAACACACTCGAGACGCAACGAGGCAAAAATGCTCTAGATACCCCCCATGTTACACACGATTTCACAACAATAACAGCAACAGCAACAAATATAAGTTCAACTTGCCACGTAAAAATGGATAAAAAGGCACAGAAAACGCACGCATAGGCAATCAGAATGGAATAAACGCAAAGCGCAAGAAATGAAATGAAACGTGCAAGGTGTGTGTGTGAGTGTGTGTGTGAGTGTGTGAGTGTGTGTGTGTATGTGTGCAGAGTATTAGAAACCATTTACCTATCTACACAGGCCCATTACACATCCACACTCGAGGATAAGAGACGACGACAGCCACATATATAACTAAAGTTTACCTTTTTTCTCATTCTGTGTGTGTGTATGTGTGTTTGTGTATGTGTGTTTGTGCGTGTGTGTGTTAGTGGGGTTTCCCTCTTCCGTTTTGTGTCATGCGGCACGCATAAAATGCCTATGGATGCCATGGTACTATATAGTCTCCTATGTATATTTAAATGCTTGGCAAACATTGCGTATGAGTGTTTTAGTCTATCGCTCTCTCGCTCTCTCTTGCACCCTCTCTCTCTCTCGCTGGCTCGCTCAGCACACATGGCGTATACGCGGCGTATAAGTTCTGTTTCAAATAATTGGATTAGTATTTGTATGGCCACACAGGCCACACAACAAAGCCAAGCGACTTGCCGCACTCGAAACATTTTCACGTTTTCTGTTTATTTTTTTCAGAGATTTTTATGAAATTTGTGTGGTTTTTGTTCTTGTTGTTGTTGTTTTATTCCATGTGAAGTTTTGCCCTTATGCGCTTTGGGTTATTTGAGATTTTTGTGTGTGTATGTTGGTGTGCTGGTTTGTGTGTTTGCCTGGCTTTGGGGCAATAATAACAAGCAAACGCGAGCGGATTAGTTCGCTGCCAGCCGGATTTTTCATTATTTTTAGTTAGTTGGCCGCAAGCGACGAACGAATTACTTTTTATTTTTATTTTTATATACCAATTTGAGCATTTGAAATGCTTTACTTTTTGCATTTAGTTTTTGCAACTCTGCACTTGTAGGCCATTTGTTGCGCCCAGAAGCGTGCTTCAAAGAAAAGAGAACTGCTAAAAATAAAAGCTGGAAAATAGCTATCTTTGGCAACCTTGCAGGAGAGAGTCCATTTAAACTTCGATATAAATTTAAAAAAATTAATTTAATCACTAATATATATAGTAATCCGATTTTAAAACATGATTGACAGAATATTGAAAGCATATTAACAACTTTTGATTGGGAAGCAAAAAGTCTCTCAGCAAAAATTCATATTTCGTTTCATTGTTCCCTCGTCTGCTATATGATATAGTTTTCCAATCCGCTGTCACAGCGCAGCAGATCCCTAGATTGCAAAAATTAAGAATTCAAAAGTTTTCGGCCAACTTTGATTAGCATATCAAATAAGGTCAAGGAAACTTTGGTTCGACTGCAATAAAAAGTTGTTTGCGAAGTTTTAGAGTAAATATTGCTGATTTAATTGTGTTTAAATTTTACTGCTAGAGATGCGAGATGAGAAACTTTAGGTAGCTAGTCTAAACTATAACCATAAAAGCTGAATGAGCAAACAAAATCTAAAGAACAATTGAAAAGGATGATTTAGCTCAGGCAAGAACTAAAAATACTTTAAAATACACTTATTTGATCGGAAAGACAATAAAAAATAGCTTTAAAAACCAAACTGATGAAAGAAAGGCTCCAAAATAACGAGACCGTAACACGAGTCATGAAAAAGTCAGTCGGAAAACATGTTGAAAGGTTAAAGAAACGAGCGCGCGTGGCATGTGGCATGTGCCGTCAGTTCAGCAGGTGAAAGAAACGAATGGCAATAAAAATCAGCGCTAAAGTTCAGATAAGATTTACGCTGTTTTAGGTAGTTGTATAAATATTATTTACGAGTAGCCGGCATTTAAACACAACTCGGGAATATTCTCAATTTGGTCGAAACACAATGTGATTTATGGTACCTTAAGTCATGAGGGCCAAGAGACCAAATTCATTGCCAAAACTTGAACATCAAAATTTGCTGATTTGCTGCAGGGAATTGGTTTGGGGGTTGGGGTTTGTTTATGGGCAGCCAAGCAAATTGGCAGCTGCCAAGCTTAATGCCGAATCCATTAGCCGTTGGCTCTGCTCGGCAGCAGCGCAACTTGCGTGCAATCAGCCAGCCGCCCCCTCTCAACACCCTCAAAACAAACACGCTTTTCAAATATATCGATTGCAAAAGCAACGCTCCAGGAATCAGCAAACCCAAAACACAAACAAAACTGACGCAACTTTTGCTGCCAGGTGGCAGCGCAGAAAGGAACTGTTTGCTACTCCTAACGAATATGTATTTTTGATACTAGCTTTGCAATGTTTATTGCTTGTTGGAGTTGTTGTAGCTGTTGTTGTTGTTGTTGTTGTTCTTGTTGCGACTGTTGTCGTAACAAGTTGAGCAACTTTCGGACACACACACACACACAGCAAAAGTTGAGAGCTTTAAGACTGTCAACAGCTGTCGACAGCTGAGGAGAACGAGCATAGGGAATTTAACGGTAAATGTAAAGCTGCAGAGGTACACTCCGAAAAAAAGTCTCCACACTCAGCTCACTCAGCTTATTATTCAGTAAGTATATTTCCACAAGGTTGTGTTCTTCTCAAAACTAGTGTATTTATTTTCTTGAGTCCAGTGTAGATTTTTCTACAGTTTAGCAGCAGGATGCTCAATTTGCAAATGGTTTCAATGTCTCTTTTTATATTGGCTTGCTTGTTAATTAAACTATTATTAAGCATTAGTACAGACATAATTCAGAGAGCTTATAAATTCATTATTCCAATTCTAACCAAGCAGCCCAGAGAGAAAATTTTATTGCACATTGCACAAAAAAAATATAAAGTTTTTTAATAAATGCAATTCCATTTCTGAAAACTATCAAGTTTTCAAGTTCATTTCTGAAATTTCGAACGATTTATTTTCTGAGTGTAGCAGGGATCTGTTCGCACTTTATGGCTGACTCTTCAGTTGGCTTGACGACGGTGGCTGCAGTCAGCAGTCAGCAGTCATTGCACAGAACTACAGCACACATAAGTTTCAAGTATTTGATGTGTATACAACTACTTCTATATTCCTACTTCCACTTCCAGTTCCGCATTTCACTATTACTATTGCTAAGAAGCTTTTCAATTTTTGGCGCAGCGGAAACTTTGCAACTGTCGTTTATTGTGTTTTGTCGCACATGCGAGCATTTTCCATTCCATTCCTTTCCAACCTTTTCCTCAAAGATTTGTCTTATGCTTGCGCTCTGGCAGCCATTATCCACACACACACGCACACACTTGTGAGAACATTTATGGCTCTTTTTCCATTTTCGCAGTGCCGGCAAATTGCCAATGTGGTGCTCAGGAAATGCTCCACTTGATTTAGCCGCTAAGTGCAGCTGCAGGCAGGCAATGAAAATGTGTTTCCTTACTTGCCCTTCCCCTTCCTTTAACCCCTTCTCCCACTCCTCCCCTCAACTATGCTTTGTGGCATGGATTTCGGCAACAATGTTCTCATAAATTCCCTGGGCGCTTGTAAAAACAATTATGCCAGATATTTACGCCGCAAAAGACAACGTTGCAACAACAACTGCAACTGCAACAGAAGCAACATCTGCAGCAGCAACAGCAGCAGACGAGAATTTGCTGTTAACAATTTTGGCTTTTAATTGCAGTTCCGCGCCCTACGACACAGTCAGACATCGCCCCACAGCTTTGGCTCACTCTTGGTAATTTCCGCATTTTATTTTTGGCTCGGTTTAACGCGGCGTATGCGTAATATCATTTAACATGCAGCATGCTGCCGCCTGCTGCTGCTGTCTGCTACTGCTTATATCCATATCCGGAGCCACTCAAAAGACAAATGTTTGTAATTAAGAATGAATGCGTGGTTTAATTAAAATGTTCGAGCCGACAAATTAAGGCTAAAAGAGCATCAGAAAGCGGCAAAGAGAGGGAGAGAGAGACGGATATATATATATATATATATATATATATATAGAGTGAGAGAGAGATGAATGCAAATTATAAACTGACTGTTTTAAATGGGCTGCCAAAAAATACAGTTTTTGGCCACTTGACAACTAAACTGAGAGCCATCAAAATGGACAAGTGGGTGTGTGAGTGTGTGTAACAGCTGAAATTGCATATGATGTGTTTGCCAAACCATTTATAAAACACACACGGACACACACACAAAATTGGCATAAAATACACGATTATTTCATATTCATATTCAGATGTGAAAATAATTGCATAGCTACGGGCAGCTTTGACATGTTTAAAGGTGTTTAAACAGCCTAATTCCAATTAAACTAAAATCTTTTTGATTAAACAACAATCTTTTGATAATTTTAAAACTGATTTAAGCAAATAAATTTATTTCTTTTGTTAAGCATGTTAAATATTTAGATAAGGCATCTCAAATCACATTGTAAAATTGAAATTTATCGTTTTTCTCCAAGGCTATTTAAAACATAGCAGATTACAGCGTTCAGTTGCAGATTTATGTTAAATTTTAAAATGTGTCAAGTGCCTTGCGGTATTAATATGCACAAATTAAAAATAAATAAAGGATAAATTTTCAGTAATTTTCATTTAAGTCTTATGCATTTGATTTCTGGCTTCAATTGTCTTTAATAATTTATTATCCAGGCTGTAATAAACATTACTAAATTTCATATTTGTTTCAAATTTAAATTTTGTTGGAATAATAGTCCTGTCATTTCACTAGAATCTTTGAGGTATTAAAGATGCTGAATTTAATTGCATTCTTGGCTGCCAATAAAACTTGTAAGTTTTTTAATAACTTGCAACTGCTACAAACTCGGTTTACAGAATAGCATTTAAAACAGTTGCAAGTTGTTAAAAAACTTACAAGTTTTATTGGCAGCCAAAAATGCTTATAGATAAAAAAAAATATGTATGCACAAATCCCAGATGGACCGTCAACACTAAGCCATATCATAACCCACAAAGCCCTCGCTGGTTATGCTTTTCTTACTGTGTGTTTTTACATGATGTGTGTGTGTGTGTGTGTGTGTGTGTTAGTTTGTGTGTACGTGTGTGTTAGTTTTGATAGCCACATTCATGTATATATCGCTGTTGGCAGTCACGTTCGAGCATTTTAAACGGCTACATGTTTTCCGCTGTGTGTGCGGAATCCGATTTTTCAGCAAACCGTTAAGGGGATGGGTTAGCCAAACTAACCAAACAATACACACACTCGCACAGTCAACATAATGGCGGCAAACACGCAGCACACACCGCACTAAAGTCCGCCCACATTTAAGCTGTTTGAAAATTTCAATGTGGTCGCGTGGTAAAATTACCCTTTTGTTATCATTTTTGGGAAGGGTTGTGTTTGGTTTTTAGGGAATTTAGTTAAATAAACTTGGACTTACGTTATGGCGTTTCTTCTCACGTTCTGGCACCGAATGCCAGCTGAATTGTAAATTCCAATCGAAGCCACCCACATTGACGCCGCTGGAGTCGCGATAGTGAAACTCCAGAGTCGCATCATCGATAACATCGATAACCGGGCAGACGACCGTCGTCGAATTGCGCGCTATGCGATCCAACAGTGGCTCCAGCCAACCTGTCAAATTAGAAGAGAGAAAGTGAGAAAGAAATGATATAGATACTTAGGATTGCTTAATTTACAAAGCATTTAAATTATGGCTGAATGGATTTTAAGGAGATATTGCCTGGGGTATAGATGAATGGATTTTACTTGGAATTATCTTGCGTAGGCTAAATAGAAAATTCTTGTAATGTAAATTTCACATGAATTTAAACTGAAAATCTATTGCGAACCTAGGAAAAACTACAATGAACATGGTTTGTCTTGGAGTTTGGTTTGTAGCTTGGTTTAATTGCTTTGGCCAAGTGCTGTCAGTGGCCTTTTGACCATTTGATCCATCATATATCTGTATTGGGGACAACGACGATGACGCCTCCGAAATAAAATGGGAAATCCAAAACTGTTCCACACACACAGACACAGATATACACACACGTTGTTGGAGTGAAAAGTTTTTCTGTATTCGGTTTTTTTTTCGTTAGTTTTCGCTTTTCTGTCGCTTTGTCTCTTGGTTTCATCGATTTTGGCTGCAATAAACAAAATTGATTGTGTTTCGTTTGCTCTTCCATCATTTTAGCCTTAAAAACAATGAATTTCTGGAGACGAGTACAAAGCAATCAGCGCCATCAACGCCTGAGTGCCAACCAAAAAGAAATACGAAAACGAAAAAAAAATATAGAAACAAAAGTGAAGATTAAGTGATTTACTAGTTGGCTTTGTTTTATTGCCATTTTGTTGTTGTTATTGTCGCAAGGAATCTCATCTTTGCGCTATCAAATGTTACAGCAAAATTGATGGTCACGTTTAGAGCACTCTCGGGATTTGCGAAATGCGCCTAAAGCGACCCAACCAAAAAACAAACAACAAAAACAAAACATTGCTTACATTTTTATGTTTCAGCTCTTGTTTTGGGTTTGATTTTATTACTTCCTTCTCTTTTCGTAGCTACTTTATGTTGACTGCATTTCAAAACAATTTGCACTGGTCTAGACAGGAAAATACGACTTGCAGATACCCTGAATCTTACTTTTAAGTATTTTATAGATAGAGCAAAGTGGCTTTTTATTGTGAAAAATTGTTTTGCTTGAAAGAAATTATGTTTGTTATCTGTTCTTAATGAAATTTTTACAGTAGACCCATCATATGCTTGGCTACATCTTCGATTGCTATCGATGTATATCGAAATACGCTAAGCAAATGCAGTCAACGAGTAAATGATGCACAAGAACTTATATGGCAAATGTTAGTCTATATCTTTTATATTCTCGTAGATCGACTACAAACATGACTCGGTTGTTGTTCAAGAATACATATATCACATGGCTCTGTGTGCTTCCTTCTGCCTGTCGCACACTGTGGCACAACTTCAATATACCCTTTGAACCCATTATCATGGGGTCAGGGTGTTGGAATGAATATTAAAATGCGAACGTTGGTTTGGGTTTGTTCAACGGCTGGTTGCGCAATCAAATAATTAATTTAGCGTTAATTTAGGCGGGTCAACGAGAACAGGACCAAACAGTTTGGCAGTCAATTACCATATAAATATATACTCGTATACACAGCAAATATGCAACAAATTCATTAAACATGAGCCGACAAGTTAATTGGATAAATCCGCTGCATACTTTTTGGCAGCCATCATTAAAATAGATGGAATAAACAAATTGTAAATGGGCAATTTACCTTCGGCACATTCACAATGCGAGTCCAGATAGGTGATGACCGGGGATTTGGCGTACTTGGCGCCAAGCAGACGGGCTCGTATCAGGCCCTCTCTTTGTGGTCCACGCACTATCTTCACCATGGGATAATCAGCGAAATAATCCTCCAGTTTTTTCTTCAGATGAGCTGCAAACAGCAATGCAAACAAGTCAAACTCAAAGACTAAAATTAGCTACTACTCAACTGGAAACTTACTCATGTCGCTGTAATCATCAACTAGAATTATTTCACCAATCAATTCGGATGGCGATCTGTCTAGGACTGAGTGCACTGTGCGCAGGAGTACGGACCATGCCTCATTGTGGAAACAAATGATGACATCTGTCTTGGGCAGATTGCTCAGATAGCGGGCCGAGTCCTTGCACCAGGCATCCCGTGGATCAGGCAGCGAACGATGAACGGATATCAAATCGGACACATACTGATTGAAGGCATTATTTGTCCAGCCCTCGTCGACGGCCTTCTTCATGTCCGGTGCCATTTCCTTAGGCAGGACGACAGGCTTGCCCATCTCTCCGGCATTGTCGTCCACGCCATTTACTGCCACTGGCGCATCCAAAACATTTTTATCTAGAAGAGAGAATGAGAGATGATTAGTGGTTGTTGTTTGATTTGGCTTCAAATTTGCAAGGATGTGACGATGGATGCTCGAAAGGATGCTGTTGTTTCTACTGCTGTTCTCTTGTGCATGAAATTTACGACTTACACACACTCGCACTCACACACACACAACATGTGGCATGCTGCGAAGATAAATCGGAATGCATTTGACATGAAAAGTTGTCATCATCAGCGTCGTGAATGAAAAATGCTTCGCCTTGCAAATTTACCAGACAAACGCACAGTAGAACAACACAAACATGACTTGTGCCTCTGGGGGAAGTTTAAAAAAGAGAAACTCAACATGAACTAAGACAGGCGATCTGTTTGGTGATTTTGAGTGCAACATTTATCTAGATTCCAACACATCTAATTTGATCAATATAAATATATTTTTATTCTGGATTTGGTTTTTTCCAACTGGATATATCAAATATCGACATAAATCGAAATTCGCGAAACTGAGGTAGACATTGATCAAATAAATTGAACTTCATTTGCGTTTTGCAAACAAAATCTTATATTCCAGCTTCTTCAGCTGTTCAAGAATATATATGCATTAGTTCAATAAATCATTCAACTATTCCACACAACATTCCCATTTCTCTTATGCACTCTACTCAGCCCAATCGATATGAAATATTATTCAAAAATAAGACATATTATTTTATGTGACATTTTTAATGCAATGCAAGTGAGCTCTTGTTACCGTGTGACACGGTGCGTATGCGTGATGTCTGTACCATAACTTGCACACGAGTGCTGCTTCTGAGCGACTGTGTGTGACTGAGTGCTTATGTGTGTGTGTGTGTACTTACAGTATGTGTAAGCGTGTGTTTGTGTGTGTGTGCATTATATTATCTTGTTATTTGCATTTGCATGGCAAAATATGATTCTGTTCCGGCTGGCAGCCAGTTGCTGCTTTTTATGAGATTTGTCAGCCAGAAGTGACACTTATTGGCACAGTTCCTTTACTCATTCTGCACGTGTGTGTATCTCTGTGTGTGTGAGTGTGTGTGTGGACGAGTGTTCGCAAAAGAATGCCGCACAATGAAAAACATTTCAATTACCGCAATCATTTCAATAAACATAAAGTAAGCTCTAGTTGTAAAAAAAGAAAGGAGAAAAAAACAAAAGCCATAAAAGCAGAAGCCCGACTTTAGGCCCACAGTGTGCAAGTTGGCCACATTATAACTTGGCTAAGAACCGTAGCGCAACCAAAGAGAGGCCAATCAGGCGGCGATAAATTTTTGGTCGCACAACAAAAGCCATTAAAGTGGGCAAAAAAAGAAATATAAAATAGGAGAGGATGAGGAGGCTACGCACATAAATTTTATGATTTGTCGTAGTTACAACTTCATTGCGGGAAATATTCACGCTTCTGCCAAGGAAGTGAAGGAAGAAGAAGTGCGGGGGCAAGGCGTAAAGAAATGACTCTAAGCAGCATACACATACACTCCACGGTTTGTTTTTGTGTAATGAACTTTTTTGCATGCTGTGCGCACACGCATCATAATAAAAAACAATAAAATGGAAGGCAGGCTCAGCTCTGTTCAATTCAGTTCAGTTCTGGAGGTCCTTCGTCCTTGGTCCTTTTCGATTTTTTTATGTGCTTTATTGATTCACTTATTTATAGCGCAGCATGGAATGTGTTATGGCATTCAAAGTGCTCAGCAAAAGGGGCACGTCGCCATTTAACTGTAGCCACCTGGGCACAATCCAATTATGGCATAAATATATCAGGAATATAGAAAAAAACCAATTCAAACTGTACACTGAGCTCTCGAGTCGAGTACATATATAGGGTTAGTTAAGAGTAGGAAAGATATCTTTAATACACTTAAAAAAATCAACCTAAAATTAAAATCGTTTTATAAATTTGAAAGTTGTTCTGCAAAAAATGATTCTTAGAAAAAAATACTTTCTGAAATTCGGAAAATGAAAAAGAAAATTCCATTTCAGAAATATGCCTTCTGAATAATAAGAATTTCGAATTTCTAAAATTTAGAGTGCTTGTTCCTCTAACTATATAAGAGTTTAAAGATCTTAAAATTTGTTATTAAATATATACACTGTTTGCTTTTAAGAAGTTTGACTATTAACTTCTAAATTTTGTAATGAAAATACTGCAAAATTATGCACCCATCTAGCAAAATATGTCATCATGTATAGAATACAAACAATTTGAACAGTTTGCAACACTCTCAATTATCCTCATTTACATTTAGCAAGTGTTTCGGGCAAGGGCAAACAGGATGCAGCACAGCGAATGTGTTATCTGTCCATTAAATTTTCATATCTATCGGCAGTTGATGGACATGGTCAGGGAGGAGCATCAAATGAGATAGCGAGATAGAGATAGAAAAGAGAGAGACACAGAGGGGAACAAGATGGGGCAGGAAGAGGGATAGGTCTGAGCGTGACAGGAAGCCATAAAGCGTTCGTTATGAGAAAAGACAAAAAGTGGGAGCGTCTGTTGTCTGTGGAAAGTAGGAGATTTGCCAATGTGTGTGTGTTTGTGTGTGTATGCGTGTGTGAGCCACACAAACAGTTAGATATACAAATGGCTGGGGGGCGACTACCAAACTGCCTAACAAACTGCCGGTACAATCTGCCCGTCCTGGCATGTTCCGACATAACGCATAAAACCGAACATAATATGCCAAAGTAGCGTTATTTGCAAAATGAATACGAATAGGTGGCGACGATTGTGGAGTGTGGAGCGAACTCAGATAGGGATTGGTATCCCTAAAGGACTCGGCAAAACGAGGACAATAGACACACACAGATACTCACACACTCAAATCTGTGTGTGTTAACAATATGACTGGGTATTAGCATTGATTAAAAACTGGCTGCGGAGTCGGGGCAATCAATCTGCAACCTAAAAGTCTACGCTTTTCCGCCTGAAAGACAGGAGTTAAGAAAGGCAAAGGCAGTTAAAGCGATTCGAATATATGATGAGAATGAGTCATTCGTAATGGGTTCTTCCATGTTCATAAACCTTAAAGAAAATAATTTGACTTAGAGGCGAACTCTGGCATCAAACTGCGGCAATAATAGCTTGTTGATGTGTATCGATATGAATTTTATCGATTGTATTTAGAGGGGTTGGATCAAATGCAGGTCATTTTCTCAGATTAACTAATTTTTAACTAAATATATTTATCGAAAAAGATAAAGCGGTTTTCTGTGTGACGCCTACAAATTGCCACTTTCAATAATAGCTCTTATTCTTAATCAATGATTCTATTGATGACAAGCCAAGGCTTACGTATGCCTGTACATATGAAACATCTAATTGTTTTAGATTGTGTAGAATAACACATGATTAGAAACCTTGAAATTGAGATTGAGCTGTAAATTAACATACCCAGTCAAGACTTTACCTCGCTGATGATAAGACACATGAGATGAATCGGAAAGCGTGTAACTTAAACTAAATACATTTTTGATTAAGTAGTTCAAGGAAAAAGATTAGAATATAACAGACACAAAAGAACGTGCCACAATAAATGCAAATAATAATATTTGCTGGCTATAAATTAAGTCGGCAGCTGCTCAGCTTCTTTAGTATTGTTCGATCTTTGCTGCTGTCCGAAACTTAAATATGCTCAATTTAAAAATATTGTTGAAAATTTTTATTTTCAGCTTATTCCTATTAAATCTGACAGTGCTGAAATGTGCAGCGGAAAATGTTGAAGTGGATGGGAAAATGGGTGAAAATGGCACTATAAACGAAATACTTGTTGAAAATAAAGAGAACCTCAACAGATCACAGCAAATACAGCTCGAAGAAATAAGGTTTGTATTTGAAATTAGATCTGTAATTCGAATATATTTAAAAGACGCTTAATACACAGATCGGAACAGATTCGTCAGAGCGACTTGCTGAATGAGCTGATGGGTAAAGTGAATGAGTTGACAAGTATCTTGAACAATTGCAGCAATGCGGATTCAGTGGAGAAAGTCGACATTGTGCCAAGTTTGGAGGAGTCCCAACAGTTGCCCAGCAGCTGTTTGGAGGCAGCACTTTTCATTCATCGCAGTGGCATCTATGAAATTCTCGTGCCCAGCTACAGTCAGCAACCATTCAATGTTAGTTGCGATGAGGAGACACAGGGCGGTGGCTGGACAACGGTGCTCAGACGTGAAGATGGCAGTGTGGATTTCTTTCTCTACTGGGAGGACTATAAAAATGGTTTCGGAAATTTGACGGGCGAGTTTTTCATCGGGCTCGAGAAGCTTCATAAAATGACCAAAGCTGTGGATCAAGAATTGCTCATTGTCATGGAGGACTTTAAGGGCCGCAAAAGGTTTGCCAGATATGAACAATTTGTAATTGGGAGCGAGGAGGAAGCATTCAAATTGCTCACATTGGGCCACTTCTCTGGCGATGCAGGCGATGAGATGCGAGATCATGCGGGTCAAAAGTTCTCAACACGAGATCGCGACAACGATGCCTCGGAAAACCACTGTGCCGAGAAATATATGGGTGCCTGGTGGTACAAAGCCTGCCATTTCACGTATGCTACAACTAAAGTTTTTATCTATGATCGAAAGTAGTTAATATTTATTTAATATTCTTGCAGCCATCTGACGGGACAATACAATGACAACACCTTTGGCAGAGGTATTATATGGTTGTATTTTACCTCTGCCTATGAGTCACTGAAACGTGTCCAGATGCTGATAAGGCCGAGAAGATATTGTAGCGGCGATTACCGCAGCGAGCGAACGTTGTAAAAATTATATATTATTTAATGATTCAGTTCGGAATCTTTTTATTTCTTATTATTACTTAAAAAAGAGAAAAACTGAGGGAAAATCAGGTAATCAAATGTACATCAACAACCAGAATAAGAAGAACTGCGATTGATCACTGTACTCATCTGTATATCAAACGCTATATATATATATATATCTAGATAGATATATATACTTTATACTGAAATCTGTTTTATGTTAACAACATAGCATTGATTAAATACGGACTCGGGGCAATCAATCTACAATCTACAATCCACAAATTTACAGATCTACAAAATCTATTCTTCTGGCAAGCAGGCAGCAGCAGCTGTCCCAGAGGCGTTTCGTTCCCTCTTTTTCTTCAAGATCGGGGGGAGGCGATTGGGGCTGCGCAAGGGGCGTGGCTTTTGCATTGTATGTACAAAATCATTATCGCTGCTAAATTGTAAGAAAAAAAAAGCAAGCAAGAAGAGAAAACAGCATGCGTGAGACGACAAATACTGGCCTAAGAGGGAAACAAGTGGAAGGGAGGGGAAGGAGAAGGAGGCCAAGATCAAGATAGTGAACGTATTAAAGGCATGGCCAGCGGGCTAACTGACTGACTGGGTGACTGACTGAGTGAGTAGCTGCACAGTAAGAAATTTAAGTTTACATTTCAAAGATAAAATTATGTGAAGAACACAAAGCGATATTTTTGGAAAAATTGAATCTAATAATGAATAATGTTCTAGATAAGTAAGAGAACTGAAGAGATTATATATATATAGAGAGAGTAATAGTAAGAGATAGATAGAGAGAGAGAGAGAGAGAGAGAAAGCGATAGTAAGAGAGAGAGAGAGAGATAGAAAAATAGCAGAGAACGAAATATAGGAAAAGAAGAGAGAAAGATGGAGATAGAGATAGCTATCAAAAAGACAGAGATAGCAAGAAAGAGGGAAGGGTAGCAAAAGAGAGAGTAATATAGAAAGGAACAGTTAAAGAGATCGGGACAAATACCAAGAGAGAGGAAACCAGAGAGAGGCGGAGAGAGATTAAGAGAAAGTTAGACTAAAAGAGGGAGAAAGGGACGGAGAAAGAGAGTTTAAGATCGAGACAAAAAGAATAAGAGAGGGCTTGAGAAAACACAGTAAGAGAGAAGAAATGAGAAAGAGTTGGAAGAGATAATAATAGAGAAAGCTATGTGTGTGCTTATGTGTGTGATTGACTGAATAAATCTCATAAACTGGAGATCTTACTTGAAATCCTGAGATTCGCGTAGAAAGGCGAAAATATATATATGTGAATAAAAATTTTAAAGTGCGGTTGAGTTATTAAAAAAGGTAAATAAACTGTTGCACTCACAAAGACAGAGAGAGAGAGAGAGACAGAGAGAGAGAGAGAGAGAGAGAGAGAGAGAGAGAGAGAGAGAGAGAGCGAGTAAAAGAGATCAAATACATTTAATGACTAAGGGAATTTAATTAAATTCAATGAAAATAATTTCATGGAAACCAACTCTTCATTGTTAGTCCGTAAAAAACCAATTCGAAAATTAAAACGAATTAAATTGAAACTTTTTTTTATATTTTTTTTTAGTGTGTGGGTGACAGTCTGACTGACTGAGTGGTGGCTGGGGTTGGGATGTTGTCTGTATGCCTGTCTGTCTGACTATCTGTCTGCCTGTCCCTTGCTTGCTTGCTGAGTTTTGATGTGTGCGCGCGATAAACGTCGTGTTGGCCACGTCTTTTGGTGGTAAGCGCCCCAAGGCCAGGGCAATAAGTACAACAACACTAATTACCAGCTATGAACACAGGCCGAGCAAGCAAGAAGACGCAGACACAAACAGATAGAGTCATGGAGATACTGCTAGGAACCACACAGTACAACCGCACCACAACCACTCGAGTCGACTCGAGGAGTCTGCGGAGTCTCTGTGCGCTGCAGGTCGCAAGTGTTGGTAAACGTTGTAGGCTTGCACACAATTTTGACGCCACGGGGCGAATGCTGCACGACAGGATCAGCAAATAGCCACAGCAACAACAATAACAATAACAACAACAAGTTGTAGCCTTGCCACCTTTGGCGAGATGAGTTTGATGATAACTACGTTCCTGTTGATAATGATGATGATGATGATGGTTGTGAAGAGGACGCTGCCACAGCGCCACAAAGAGATGCAAACATGATATGCGAAATTGCAAATACGTGCATTGTGTGTGCATGTGTGTGCGTGTGTACACTCAGAACAAAAATCACTCTACATTTTAGTAAACCATACTTTTGGCGCCAGCGGTTTGCCAGATTATTATTTAGCAAGAAAACCACTAAAATTTATTGTTGTGGTTTTCTAAAAACCGATGTTTTTCATGTTGATTTTTTCTAACGGGTAGAAAAAAATTGACCACTTAAGGAATTTATAATATTATTGAAGATATATTTGTATTTTAAGATTTCACATAAACACAAATATTATACATAGTTTACAAATTCATATTAATTGATGAGCCACTCAGCCCTTAAGGCAGATAATAGCTAAACTCTAAAATAAAATATAAATTATTTCTAATAGCCAGAAGAGCTTTACATTTCTTGTTTTTACTAAAATATAGGGTGGTTTTTTTCCTGAGTGTGGGTAACTGAAATATGCAGTAATGCAGAATTCCCCTAGATGCAATCTTAAATGCATGTGCCACATGCAACATACATTGTATCTTGGCCAATAGAATTGGTCGCCAGCACTTGTACCAAAGCCACGGCTGACTGCTTCTCATTGATTTGGTCAAAACCCACACAGAATACACACACAAGAAATCAGGCATTCATTCAGTCCATTGAGTAAAAGCTCTGGCCGAGGGACCGACAATTGAAGGTTTCTGCCTGATTAGTGGCAAGTAACATTGTTGTTGTTGTTGCATTTTTAATGTGCTTAATGCGAATGCCTCACTTGACAGCGGCATGAGTCAAATTCTGGTCTCTCTATTTACCACACCACACCCGCCCCCCTTGACCCCATTGAATAAAGGCTGTTTGGCAACAATTGTAAGTTGTTAAGCGGCAGAGCTCCTGCCTCTCGAGTTTGGTTGTTGTCGCCGTTGGCATCTTTAACATGCTTGTAAAACTCGTTAGAAATTTTTCTTAAAAAGGAGCCAACAAAAGAGGTAAGACGTGAGCAGGAGGGATGGGTGGATGGGGGGAGAACTTAGCAATGTGTGATTATCGATGCGTTTAGTTCGATTTCTGGCTGCCTGACCTAAAATGCAAAAACACGACAAAGAAAGAGACAGCAGACATAGTCAGAGGAAGAGAGAGAGAGACAGAGAGCGTGGATGGGAATCAGCAATGGTGTGAATATGAAGTGTGATTAGAGTAAATGGGAATGGGAGTGAAATGGATGAAAAAGTGGAAATGGGAATGGGAATGGGAAAACCCCACACAGAGATCTGCAAAACTGATTACAGCAATGATACGCCAGGTGGAAGAACCATGCTAGCAAACACTGTGATGAATGGAGCGAGAAATGTGCTTTAATCCGCAACTAATTTCAATATAAATATTAATGTTACACATTTGTTGTGCAGGTGAACAAAACGTGGCTGCAACAGCAGCAAATGAATTGGCAACAATAAAACAGAACCAATCCAGATAGCAAAGGGGTCTACAACAACAACAACAACAATAACATCAACTAAAAAAGGCGTGGTTACTTCTCGAATGATGTGCACATTAATTATGTCAGCAGAGCAGAGGAATTTATAGCCAGTCTCTCATGGCCATAAAAAGATATAATTTCCCACGTTATGTGCCGGGCTGGGCTGGGTACAGCAAATAAATAAAGTAACTCATCTGTGGATGGAATCTGAGCTTGCATGCATATAGCGATTAAATTTACAAATATGCATATTAAATGTAACAAGTACCACTGCAGTTGAGAGACAACCAAACATAGATTATATATCGTATATAATCAAATGCGCTTGAAGAATCGATGCAAATTAATTTGATATAAAAAAAATATCCCTTTCAAATTGATAATGAAATTTATATTTCACATTCGATTCTGCAGGGGTGCCTAAAGTAAAATGGTCATTACATTTTGTTTATCTTGATTTAAAATCCCAAATGAGCCTCAAGCATCTAAGTGTTACAATCTCAAATCAAGTACGGGTTCTTCAAAATGAATAATAAACAATTTTTAATATAAACACTTGATGAGCTTAAGAATTTTGCTAGCCAGTTTAACTTTCACAATTGAATCAAGAATATTTTGTAGGTGCTTTGACATTTAATATGAGTTTCACTTTTGATTTTAATGAAGAACAAACACAAAGCTGACACAGCAAAATTACAGAGTTTGCTTAGCTTGTTTATGAGCCATTAGCCATTTTAATTCGTTAAATAACTGAGATAGTTGATATTTGATGGCAAGTTGACAAGTTAGAAATATAATTACAGCTCAATGCTAATGAGACATCAAAGTTTAAATTTCAAACGCAAGCATTAATTACAGCCGTGGGGATATTAAATGTTAATTAAAATGTGAGCTCAACTTACCGTCATCCTTGCCCAGCGCCGCCTGTTTGTGGATTATGACCTTGTCCTGGGCCAGTTGTAGTTGTTGCTGCCCCCGTGGAATGACTTTAACTCGCTTATGCTTGGCAGTTGGAGGCACATCCGCCTCCTGTGGCGCCTCGCGATCAATGGCATTAAATGCGGCATCCTCTTCGCCAGAGAGTGGACCATTTTTTAGAGCCATTGCAATGGGATCTCCACCACCACCACCACCACCGCCGCCACTGTTGATGTTGTTTGCAATCCCGTATCCGCTGCCACCGCTACTCTCCTGCACCGCTCGGCGTCGTGTGTCGTCCGTGTAGATGAGGAACGCAATGCAGAACCAAATGGCCAGCATTAATGCCACCAGTTTCACAATTGTTGTGGAGCGACGACGCCAAATAAATGCCATGCTGCTGCTGATGCTGATGATGATGACGATGACTTTATCCCTCTAACTGTGAGTCTGACTGTGACTCTGGCTTCCCTTTGTGGCTGCAATTGTTGCAGCAGCTGTTAATGGCTTGTGGAAATCGTTGAGTTGAGTGCCACGCACAGTTTATAGTTCGTCCTCTCGCTTAATTTACATTAAAGTTACATTAAGTTATTATTATTTTTGTTGAATTGCTGATATGTCTGCTTAATTTTTGCTGTTATCCTTGCTGCAACATCGCCTTACAGCACCTCTGTTAATTAGTTGTCATTCCTCTTGAAATACCAGCTGGTGATTCAGTCTGAAGTTTAGGATATGATGTGGCAGCAACGAGCTGTGTCCTGTTTTTAGCCAACTCAATTGAAGAGTTGTCTCTTCTTTTTTCCGTGCACTCAGCTGCCCTCTGTAAATGAAGCAAACAGAAACAGTCAGTTATGTAAATGGATTGAGTTAAGAGAGTTGCAGGTGAGTTAAACTTGTGCTCAAACCTAATCTACACACGATTAAGTCTTTGCCTCTGCTCCTCTCCATGCCATTATGCAATTAAGCCATTAAATTGAGAGGCAAATCAAATGGTTGGCAAGCGTAGATTGATTTTTATTTCTAATTGTCTGGCATTGAACTGCAATTATGCTCTTCCGCATGGGACTAATGCCCATAATATATAATTGCAGTAACGACCAGGACCAGGCAGTTAGCCTGCACCTGCAACCAGTCTTCTGCGCCAGTCTTAAGGTAAATGACTTACCACTTGGGCCACAGCTACCAGTGAGGCAACCATTTGACTGATGGTTGCCTCACAGCGAGTGCCACAGTTGCGTGCCACCTTGCCGCCTCACACCAAAATGATAATAGACCAACAAGAAATAAGAACGAAGCGCAAAAAAAAAACAATTACATATTTCTGTGAAAAAATTCACTTTTTTCAATTATTTGATGAGCATAAAAATGATTAACTCATTTGTGAGTGTAGAACAAACATTAAGAAGATTAAGGCATTAAAGTAAGCGTTTAGCTCTATTACAACTGAATAAAACGACTTCGATAAAAATCGATAGCCGATTGCATTAAAAGAAGAAAAGTAATTGAAAGGAAAATGAAACTCAGACGTATTGTTAATCAAACTGTTTTCGTATTTAGCAAATTAAAACGACCAACCCTTTTGTGTATTTAAAAGTGGCCTTTAGCTGTTTTCTAGACGAGCACTCTCGACTATATCATTTTAACTTTTTTAATTATATATGTATTTATCTTTCTAAAAAGTTGTACGTCTCCTTCTCACCACTCTTGCTGTGGGCTGGATGGGGGCATAAAGCGACTAATAAATATTTTTACCATTAGCTGGGCTGGCGCGTAATGTGGCAAGAACGGAGAACATAGAACAGAGCCCAGCCTAGATTGGGGCCCCGAGTGGTGCCAGTGTTGCAGTTGTGGCAGTTAAAGCTGGCCAGTTAATGCCCCCTATTCACTATTCGCTCCATGTGGGGAGTCATGACTTGGCCATGGGCCAGGCCAAGTAATTGAATGCACATGCAGAGCGCCGAGTGAGACGAACGCCAGGGCAAGCTTATCAATTAGACAAGCCAGCCATGTCAGCCACATCACAACGAGCGGGTAAAGAGCGGCAGAGGTGGGCAGCGAGCGAGAGAGATGGAAGAGACCCCCACATTCCGTCCCCCCTCCCGCACACTCAGCCTCTTTGTCAGTCGCCCCTTCCCAATGTCAGCTATGCGGACTATGTGTGCATACAATAAATACAAGTTAATTACTTCGTGTGCCTTTTGTTATGGCTCGTTGGGTTCTCGGTTCAAGTACCATCGCCACAACCTGGCAACAGCAACTAGCCACCTCTACATCCCCCCCCCCCCCCCACCCTCTCTCTCTCTCTCTCTCGCGACTACCCCTTATCGCCTTACTTTTCCTGCTTCCACTCACACACATACAATGTAGACAATTTCCGTTGGGTGTTTGTGTCTGTGTGCTTATAAATTGAAAAGCAGAGAGAGAAAAAGGGGTGCTAGGGGAAGGGAACATATCATGTCCTCAGTCAGCTGTAAAAGTTTGCAATGCAATGCCACGCTCACAAAATAGAGCGATTAGAGTTGCCAAGCAATCGGGGAGAAAGAGCATTGTGGGAAGCGAGTAGTTTACACTTGGAATGTATATAAATAGGTACTCAACCCAATATAGTAGTCAATTTTGAATAAATTGCAAAATTTGCTAATAACAACTTGAATGCAGCAAATACCAATGGAAATTAGAAGAATAGAAAAGACACTTGGGCATGCCGAAGACTAGATACACTGGAATATAGGAATCTAATTTTGCTGCTGATCGTATTACGATTAAAAAATAAAACTCATTGCTACTCAGTTTTGGCTTGGGCAAGTTGGTTAAATGAGTTGTTCATCCAAGAAATCGTCTTTCGACCGATTGTTTCTATGGAATCTGTAAGATATAGTAAAGTCTCAATGATTTTCTGTTCAAATGTTAAGCACGCATAGGTGCTTAGTCAGCAGAGGCCAGAGGTCTTTTTACCCATTATGACTAACTACATCGACTGTAATTATCATGCTGATAATATTCCTTGATACTCTATACTCTGCACCACAAATTAATAATATAAAAGAGTATATATTTAAACTCTATATATTATATTTATTCGCTTCACTAATATAATTCTCCTGTCATTTACAGTTGGTCAAAACTGTTGAGCACCAACTAATTACTTCAGTGGCTATCGCACACAGTTGTAGCACAATCAATAATTGATGGGTTTGCAAATGCATTTTCCGATTACATTTTGGCATTTTTTCGGCGGATTTTATAACGAGACATCAGCTGGAACTGTTGTAATTTCAATTTTTCTTTGTTTGTTGCTTGTCAAAAATTGTATTTATACTGTTTGTTAATTAAAATTCACTGCTAGTCACGTGGCGTATGCGCAATTTTAAAAGCTTCAGTGGAGAGCGGATTTCACAATTGAAACGATTTTCATATGTCATAGGCATTTTGTGCAAAATCAAAAATATTTTGCGGTTTCAGCTAACAGCTGGAATTTCAAATTTTCACATTTCATTTGGCATTTGTAATTTCACACAGCATTTGCGAGGGTGGTTAGAAAAACATTTCGAAGGAAACGGAAAGTTAATTGGATCGTAATCAGCCAGCCCGTAGATAAGCAGAGTACAGCAGATAAATTCAAGTATTGTCAAATGAATTTTGGTTTTAATTATGTCATGGTTTAATGCATAAGATAACAGGGAACTGCGATATTTACCAAGTAATTACGGGAACTTGAGAACCTGTATACAAAATGAAAATAATCATAAGCGTTGGCAATGAAAACGTTTAAAAATAGATATTTAATTATGAGCGACAGCATGGAAAGAATTCCAAGGAGAGATATGGAATTTAGTCTGAATAACACTAGAGCTAAAAATTTAAAGTTTTCAATGCTGTCTGTTGAGTAGTTCATAAGATTCGAGAAACTTTTGAGAAGCATAAAGATAATATTTTAGTAAATATTTACAAATGACTTTATTTTTGTAGATTCTGGTGCTAAGTCTTTAGTTATAAAGTTAATCTACTGTTTATGTACAGACAGTTAAATCTGCAGCTATAAGTTTCACTTTATCTCAATGCAAAGAACAACAGATATATAAAACAGATATTTCAAATATAATACTATAACATTTATAATTTTTCAATATCCAATTGTAATTATTATTCTACTATTTAGTGAATTTTCACCTTGGCTAACTTGTTCTATCAACAATTTGAATGTATTTACATTTGACGCTGTGTTTGCCCGTGCTAAATGAGCTGCGGCTTCCTCTTGTTACGTTTGTGGGATAGACAATGAAGAACGGGGAAGGGAATGGGGCGAAGCGTGTAGCTAGAATTGGCAGATATGGTAATATCTACAATTGGCAGCAGCAACAACGGTTACATGACCAATTTGTCTGTCGCAAAAATTAAAATGAAATGATTCGATTGTTGGTTGAGCGCAGATTGCCTGTCATAAAACTACAACACGCAGTGCAGCTATTTTATTATTGGTGCTTATCACAAACCGAGGACAGACAGAAACACAGTGACTGATGGAAGACAGGTGGGGGAATGGACGGACAGAACTTGAGGCGGAAAACGCTTGAAATTAAAAAGATATGCGCTGACAGCCGGCATTCGTGACGCGCTCAATATGCAAACGGAAGTGTACACTGAACGAAAATCAAGATAATCCCACTTATATTATTAGCTGGAAAGATTTCTAGCAGTCAAGATAATTGCTAATATTCTAGGGCCTACACCGCGAAAAATACTGGTTTCTGATGCAAGGTGTCAAAGAGGTAATGAAACCGTTAACAGAATGAAATTTTAAACGGAAACTGAAAGCTGAGATTGTTGCAGATCCATTAACCGATATTGATATTATGATTAACCAAAACATTAGCTAACGGTCATTTTCACTTTTCTTTTTGTATCTTTTACTTGCTTTCAACCTAAACTCGTTTCGGCTTAACACACTGAATTGTTTTTCTACCATAGAATATCTTAAATATGGATTTTTAACATTAAAAAAGAACTACAATCTTGAAACTAATTTTAATCTTTCAAATAAGAAAAAAGAAGTAAGCAGGTGAAATGATTTAGTTAGTTTTATACTTGAGTCAAGATTTTGAAATTTAATTCAATTCTAGCCATTCTTTTTCGTTCAGTGTAGTCGCTGTTACCTTTATTTAATGAGTGAAACCTAAGCGAGAATGCCGCCTTGGGGCTCTCTTGTTTAACTTCCAATCTACAGCTCACGAACCTCAATGCTCAACCCTCATTTTATCTCTGTCTCTCAACCTTCCTCTCTCCCTCTCTCTCTCTCTCTCTCTCTCTCTACCTCTCTCTCTCTCCATCTATCTCTTTCAGTTTCTATGCGAAGTGCTGCTGGGTGTGCGGCAATTGCTTGTGTTGCCATATCTCTTGACTAATTGACTGATAAGCGCCGCAGCAATTTGTGCGCTTCTAAAAGAGTTTTTCGCTTTGGTTTTATTTCGCCTTCTAGTGAGATAAGATAACAATTAATTGAATTTCATGTAAAGTTTGCCATTGGCTCCCCCAGGATGTTCTGCTATCGGTTGACTACGACTTTTTTCCAGTTTTCCCAACAGTGTTTTAATTGCAGCTCATCTATCAAAAGTGCGCATTTAATCGCTGGCATAATTGGACGCACATTAAAATGGAAACAAAGAGCAACAGAAGAGCCAACAAAACTATTTGCCAAGGAATGGAAAGCAAAAACAAAAATGGCCAACATCGTTTGCCATTTAAGCCAAATGAAATATTACGCGTGCTGAAAAAAAAAAATGGGTAACGAACAAAAACGCAAATTGTGCGCAACGAAGACCA